GCCCTGCTCCATTTTCAGTTGCACTGCCCCATTTCAACAATTGGTTTCATGGCTCCATTTAAATAATTTCCCTCCCCTTTCATAGCCTGATTGTGCACACCTATAATCCCAGTACTCAGAAGACTGAGCAAGAGGATCACAAGTTTGAGGCCAGCCTGTGCTACATAGAGAATACAAAGCCAGCCTGCACTATATAGCAAAACCCTGTCTCAAAAAATACCAACAGTGTTCACTTCAGCACTAAAACTGGAACACAGAGAACATTAGCACGGCTCCTATGCAAGGATGACATGCAAATTCATGAAGCATTCTGTATTAAAAAAAAAAAAAAAAGACAATTCTCTTTCCTGTCAACTGTGCAAAGCAAGAGGAATGGGAAAAGCAGAAAAGACAGTTTCCAGGATTCCTTTCAGACAGGCCACATCCCAGAATCCTGACATCATACAAGAATGCAGAGACTCCTTAGGTTCCTAGAGGCTTTGAGTTTTCTTTGGTAGGCAAAGTACCCTTTAGCAAAAAGGTCCCTTCATTTAGGAACCAAAAGGAAGCTGACAGTCCTATCCCTCAGGAGTCAAATGACATGATACACTAATGACACAGGTCTGCCTCAGGTATATTGAGACAGCCTCTTCTAGTTCCTGGCCTGTTTTCCAGAGGTGGTTTCTTGCATAATTGATAGATATAGCAAGAAGGAAACCACTTGGTTATCTGACAGCTTGAGAAGACACAAGATATTGAGGCTGGGATCCCTCTCTTGTGAAGGACTGCTTATTTTCAGGAACTCTCCAGGGAGGTGTGAGAAGGCAGCCCCTGATGGCCCAAGAAAATACCAAAACAAAAACAATCCAACATCATCTGGAGTGCTTTCCTCCTCAGTCTACTACAACCTCCTCTGCGGAGACTCTAGTCCTTAGTGTCCCAGTCCTGGGGTAAGAAGCATCTATCCCTCACTCCTTAGAAAACAGGGCCTTGGGGACTGGGGAGATGGCTCAGTGGAACAAGTGCTTCCCTGGCAAATGCAAGGGCCTGAGTTCAATCCCCGGTTCCACAAAAAAGAAAGAAAGAAAGAAAAAAAAAAAAAAAAAGAAAACAGGGCCTTGCAGGATGTAGTGTCACATCTGTAATCCCAGTAGTTTGGGAGGGTGAGGCAGGAAGATCACCAGCTCAAGACCAGCCTGAGCCTATATAAGGGAGTTCAAGGCCAGCTTGCATTACATAGCAAGACCAGGTCTCAGAAAATAGGGCTTTGAGAAGTCATTTGGAGGAGACAAAGAGAAACACAGGCTATATCAGGCACCACCCAAGCTGTAGACCCAGAGGTGTTTGTGACGCTTCCTCCATAAGCCAAGTGCTGAGGCTACACCATCAAAGAATTACTGATGGGAATGAAATCTGAAACAACCATTCCCAGGCCAGAGGAACACAAGACCTTGGACACTACCAGCACCAGAGTCTCCAGCCTGGGGGACCATACAGCCTAGGGACAGGCTAGGGAAAGCCTAACTTGCTTATATTCCAGGGGGAGACTACCTGATCTACCTTTAAGCCACCCTATCTCCAGAGAGTCAGAGAAGACTAGAAGCCCAGCTGCTTGGGAGCCTTTTCTTCCCAGCTTCTGGGGAAAGCTCTGCTTCTGCACAGGGCTGGAGAGCTGTAATTATCCAGACAGGATAAGAGCTATTTTGGGAAGGAGCTGTCTTGCTGCCAAGGCTTTTGACTTCCTAAACTAAAACAAGATGAAAAAAAAAAAAGCAAAAATAAACTGGGTGAGAGTAGGGAAGAACAGGGAGGAGCCTGCTCAGTCAAAAACATCACATCTTGAATGAAGAGAAATAGCACTCCTTCCTAGAGGTACAAATTTGTGTTAAAGGGTAAGCAAGAGGCAGGTGTTAAGCTATCTCCTCATGCATAGGCCCCTTACTAACTCTTGCTGACTCCCTCTTTTTCTAAGACCCTTCAAGGGTGCTTAAGTCTGTTCTGTTTCACCGTGTGTGTGTGTGTGTGTGTGTGTGTGTGTGTGTGTGTGTGTGTGTGTTGAGACAGGGTCTTGCTATGTAGCTCAGGCTGGCCTCAAACCCAAATGATCCTCCTTCCTCAGCCTCCCAAGTGCTATTATTTGACATCTGAACACAGACACTGTATATTGTTGTTTAAATGTTTCCTGTGCATGACTTACCTCCTGACCCACGTGGTCAGTTTCTCAAAGCCAAAGGGTATATGTGTTGTGCAGTCTCTCCAAAAGCTCCTAGCACAGTGATAGGTATCTGAATAACAATTATCTATGGAAGGGAGGAAGAGAAAAGGAGAGAGGACAAAAGGAAGGAAGGAAGAAAGGGAAGAAAGGACAGATGGATGAAGCAGAGGAACTTACTGTTTTTCATGGGTGATAATCTCTAAAACTGGCTGCTCCAACCTATAGCTGAGGTCAGGGCCTTGGGTTGGATAAGAACTCAAGCAGAGGGGGTGGCAGCCACATTCCTGGACACCTCCCCTTCAGCTGTTCTGTTATGGGAGCTCAGGCTGTACTCTATTCCCAGTCCCTATTTGTAGTCAACTGCTTTTCATCCTAAGCCAGTCAGCCTATGGATGAGATCCATTAGAGGCCACTGTCAGGCTTTGGATAAGATAGGAAAATGGTAAGATAATGAATGGAAGCAGGAAAAGCTTTGACCATCTTATCAAACATAGACCAAAAAGAGCCAAAGTACTGATGGGAACTAAAAATGCACTGTGAAATCAGGACACTGCAAAATTTAGGACACAGACCCGCAAAAAGCAGAGTCCACCTATGCTTTTCCAAACTGAGGAACCAAATAGTGTATAACTCAGAAAACAACTCCTTTCTGGAGTGATCCACAAGGGAGATGGTAGAGCCAGGAGGGGACCAATCCAACCCATGGATGCCCAGTCTTCTCATAGAACACTTGGCAATACTTATCATCTCCCAAAAAAAATCTCCATCCTTTCTCTCCAGAGCTGCAGACAGATCATAGGGAACTTTTGTGCACATCTCCCTTGGAGGGAGGTATAGTACAAGCAGTACACAGCTCAGGAAGTGGAACTCAGGTGCCCTCAAGGAGTGCACAACCTCTCCAAGCACAGGGAGTAGCAGTGTCGCCCTTCAGATCCCCTTCCATCAGAGGACAGGAGTGGGACTTGGATAAGGGGCAGGAGTACAGAAAAACTGAAAATATCCTCTCAGGATCATTCTTACCTCCTCATCTGTCGTAATAGAGTAGAATCCAGGCATTCCCATGGGGCAGCAAATGGAATTCAGAAAATGCCAACAGAAAAGAAAAAGCAAATTTTACTGACGATGCTCACTAAAATGGAATTTGCTATATAACCTGGCCCAAATCCCTCCTAGTAACAACAGTTATCATTTACTGAGTTCTAATTGCCAAGTACCGTGCTAAGTGCTCTCTATGAAATAGCTTAATTTTCACAATAACCTAAGAGGAATCTATTATCACACGTGATATGGAGAAACTAAGGTTTGGAGAAGTAACTCACCCAAAGTCAAGGTCAGGAAACAGTGGACCCAGCATTCAAACCCAGTAAGACAATGCCTGAATTCACACATTACTATACACCTACTTGAGGAAGGTTGGCTTCCTCTTCTTTGTTTTTTGTTTTCCCCAGTTCAAAGGATTCATTCTGGTTGAGACTGGATAACATTCTTAGGGCTCTCTTCTACCCAGGAACTTCTCCATCCAGAGCTCAGAACTCTGGTGTTCATAGCATAGAGTTTAACTGGGGCCACAATCCTCAAACAAAAAACTCCCTGCTGCCAAGATGCACTGTACAAAATCTAGTCCTCACCTTTCTCTGCACCAGACAGTTCAGGAGTAAAAAAGTAACCAGAGAGTCTTGCAAAGATGAGGACACTTAAGGATTCTGGAGTTTGCTTCAAGAACCACTGTGGCCTTAAGAGGACAGCCCAGACACCCCTGGAGATCTTCCTGAACAGTACCAGTTACATACATTCAAGATAGAGGGTGGGGGCTTGAGGAGGGCTCTGAGGGACCAAAGAGACACATGAAAAGAGAACCCCCAACCTGAATTAGTGTGGACTCAACCCTGAGCAAGACTATGAAACAGGTAATTTGCTTGGTTTGTTTTGCTTTAGCACATAACAAGTAACACCAGCTAACCTGAAATGGCAAAGAGGACTTAAATTGTACTTCATTCTGGAAGGGATTTCTCATTCAAAGGAAACTCTTGAAAACAAACAAATAAAAATTCAAATTCCTAAATGGATTGGTCTAAAGATGGAATTTGAGGCAAAAGGAAAACTTCCTTTGTTCCCTCAGGTCAGAACTCCAGCACTATTCACCTAAAACCCCAGGTCTATTATTGAAATATGGAGGCCACCCTCTGACTATTCTGCTACTCCCCAGGGCCCACAATGGACCCACAGGAGACAAGCACAGACCTTTTAGCCACCAGATGATTCGATTTTGCATTTCCTCAGAGACATCTAAAAGTAACAGAGAGACTATTGCTTTTTTTCTGTCCAATGACAGCTCCCCCCACACTACTTATACTTTGCTTTCTAGAGTATGTCTCTACCCAATGGTACATTCAACAACAATCTTCTCTTAGAAGATCCTCCCGCCAGGGAGATGGCTCAGTGGAATAAGTACTTCCCTGGCAAGTGCAAGGGTCTGAGTTCAATCCCCGGTTCTGCCAAAAAAAAAAAAAAAGAAGAAGAAGATCCTCCCACTTATGACCAAATATCACATTCTCATGCCTTCTCTCTCTTTTTCACCCTTCCTCTGTGCCACTCTTAACACTTTTCCCCTCCCAGGATCCCAAGTCCCAGCTCACCTTCACCCCACCTATACCACTTGGATGCCAGAAGATTTCCCTGAGACCCTTAGACTCTTACCCTTCATAATAGCCCTTACTAACCCTCACCCCGATCAGTTCTTCATCTCCACTCCCAGAAATCTGTTTCAGACCCTGAAAACCACTCTCTACTACATTCCATTGAAAAGTTAAGCAGCATTGCCTGGAAGAGTCAATGCCTGATGCCCATCAGAGTTATCATCATCGATGTCATTAGCTTGGAGCTCAGAGAAGCTGGCAGGAAAGGCATAGAACACTGTGATTAAGGATACAAGTGGCTTTGGCACTGGCAGCATAACAGCCCTGAGGCCAAGAGTGAAGAACTGGCCTTTCCTGCCCACCTCAATGTCCCATCTCACTAAACTGGGGCTGCACCTGGGAAGTCTTCTTCACATACCCAGGAAGAAAGCATTAAACCTTTGATTGAGTTGTTTGTTGGTGTGCTTGAGGTCTTGTGACACTTCCCTCAATGGTAACTGGCTTGAAGACTCCTTTGGTGATGATGGTAGTGGTGGGCTTGCCTTTTCCCTCTGGAATATCAGGTCCTCACAGAAAGAAATTGAGTCCATTTCATAAAGGGCCTCTGAAATGTCTAGGGCAAGAGGGGACTTAGCCTCAAAATTGGGTGTTGTTGTCCAGCTTTGGGGCATTTCACCTTGAGGATTCAGTAAGGCCCACCATGAGGAATCAGGACCATACTTAGGTAAAGATCGAGGGGGTAAAGGCCGAGGAGTCAGTTCCAGTTCTGCATCAATGGAGTGCTTTTGGAAGGGTTCTGGATACCTGACAGCAGGCCCTGAGGACATGTAGTTAGTTTCTGTAGGTCTTTGGACTTGCTGTTTATGAGTGGACCGTGGAATGGCATACATGAGAGATTTTCGAGGACTCTCAGACACTGCTCGAGCTGTAGCATGAAGAGTTGACTGCACTGACTGTCCTGGTGAGAACATGGTGACCCTGCGGCTGGCTTCACTGTCTCGGACTGCGGATTTCACACTAGGCTCATCTGGTGATACTAAGACCTTTGAAGAGGGCTTGGTCTCAATGTAGACAGAATGTTTGTAGAGAGATTCGGGTTCTGAATATACAGGAGGAACTCGATGTCCACCATCTAAATCTCTAAGGACAGAGAGTTTAAGGGATGATGCCAATTTCATATTCCTATGCAAGGCTTTAGGTTCTGAAAGAATTGAGGGGTGAGAATCCATCTGTGACTCTTGGCCCGGACTCTTTCTATGAACTGCCTGGTGAGTGCTGCCATGATCTGGGCTGGTGGGACTCCTTGGAGATCTGACCCCACCAGTCCAAATCTTTCCAATGGGCTCAGTTTGTACTGCTTCATCCTTTGGGTAAGACGAAATCCTACGAGGAACTCTGACCCCTTGAGGGTTCTGGACCTTGGAAGGTGGGTCTTCTTGTAAGTTTTGTAAGTCTAAGTTATTCTTCTCATCTATGAAACTCAAGCGGCGAGAGGATTTGGCATCTGGGGACAATGAGGTGCAACAGCCAACCTCACGCCCTGGCTTGATCTCACCCCCTCTTCGATTTGCTCCCTCTTTGACATTCCGATGTACGTTCACAGGATGGGGAGGTGCTGTCTGAACTTGTTGGCTCTTTTGCTGAGAAGAGGGAATTCGTGGTCGGGTCTCAGTTCCCCGAAGGGTGGATGTTGTATAGAGGCTGGGCCCTGACTGAGGGGATGGAGCGTGAGGAGAGTATGATGCTGAATAGGAAGTAGTGGGAGGTACAGCTTCAACTCTTTGAGGGTAAGAAGGGCTCTGAGAGATGGCAGCACTTTGCTGGCTTGTGCTGAAAATGTACCTGTGTCCCCGCTGGGAGGTGGAGCTAGTAAACTCAGGCTCTCTATGTGCTACCTTGGACCCAGATTTATTTGTCCTGAGTATCTGAAAGCCTGTGCCCTTCTGTGTAGATGCCATATTTTATCAGCTGGCTTGTCTTCAGGATTTTACTGAAGGCTTACTATTTACCCTCATTTTTAAAAGCTGCTGTTGTTGGGCTCCCATCAAACTGGTGGTTGTTCTAAGAGTCCCCTTAGCTACTTCTCTGTCCTTCTCTGTCTGATGATGTCATAAAGGAAGGAGTTTCCTATTAAACCCTCTCACATGGCCATAATTCTTCAGAGAAATGTAAGCAATACTCAAGAAGAAACTGAATTTATCTTTGGATTTGAGACTACCAAGCCTCTGAACAAGTTCTACACAAATTTGGAATTTCCTCATACAAATAAGGCTCCCGCCAGGCATGTTGGTGCACACATGTAATCCCAGCACTTGGGAGCAAGAGGATTGTTGAGAGTTCAAGACCAGGATGGACTACAACGTGAGCTCAAGGCCCGCCTGAACTGCATAGTAAGACCCTGTCTCAAAAAGATCAAAAACTAAAAGGCTCCAGACCTTACTTTACTCTCCCCAGGTAATAGCAGGATTTTCAAGGATTCCTCCAGAGAAATCTGTCAGAAAGAAAAAAAAAAAAAAAACTTTTAGGCAAGGCTATTCAAGATTATCATATCATGTCAGCACCAGATTTAATAAGTCACTTTGTACTGTACAGTTGTTCCAGTTTTGTTTGAAACTGCATTGTATACAAGTCAAAAAAATAGAGCACCAGAATTTTTTGTGTTTTTTATATGGTTTAAATGACAATGGGGTTAAAAAAAATCTAAATCCTCAAATTCTTAGTCCAGGTAGTATCACACAAGGGATCTGGAGTTAATACTGGTTTTGATTATTAATGACTAGCTATGTATTCTGATGTATGATTACAGGATGGCAAGATACTGTCTGAACTTTCTGACTCTTTTGTTGGAAAACGAAATGGGTGGCCAGGTCTCTGTTCCCCAGGGCTGGATGTTGTATAGAGGCTGGGCTCATAATACAATTTTCTCCTTATAATAGTTCATAATTCTGGCTGATATTATTATTATTATTTTGTATTTTTAGGGAAGGGTCTACAGGGTGTTCAGGGTCTTAATACTAGATCAGAGTCCTAGTGATCCTCCTGTTTACAGCCTCCCAAGAGCTGGGATTACATGTGCATGCCACCAAGCCCAGTCTCAAATGCTGTCTCTGTGCGCCCCAGGGGTGGGGCCAGTATGGCAAGCCTGGCTGCATATTAGAATCCCCTGAAAAATGTTTACAAGCCTATGCACTGCCTCAGCTGAAATAAATCAGATAATTTAGGAGTGAGGTCTGAGCAACAGTATTTGTTACAGACTTTTTTTTTCCATAATTTTATTGAGAAACAAACAGCTATGAGACAGTTTTAAACCAAATTGGTAGGACAGTTTCAATAATTAACACATTGCATACATTCTTCCTAGTGGTTAATTGCTGTACAAGATGC